GAAGAGCCTCCAAAATGCACCACCAGGCATGGAAGCAATGGAGGTTCTGCAGGGTGTCTGAAGGGTATCTGCTGCTGCATAAGGTATTATTCCTTTTATTTCTAAATCTTTGTAGATCTGTGCATTCTGCTCCAAAGAAGACAAAGCCTCTTATATATGTGCAGTGTGCTCCTGAGCTCCCAAAACTATTCTTGGGAAGCAAGCCAGTCACTCAGAGGCTTGGTCAATGTTTTCTTTGGATGGTTGCTCCTGGAAATTGCTGCTGAAACATTTTCAATGAGATTCTTTCTTTCAATTAAACATATTTCCTCCAGAAACTTTCTAAGGAACAATAATATTTTCTTTTCTCCAAGACACTGGCTAGCCAGAAACAGCACTCCAGCCAAACCTCAAACAATTTAATTAGTAATTTCTACAGTGCTGTCTCCCTGGACTTTTAGTTCAGTTACTTTTTATCCTCATTCCCCTTTATGGACCAAGTTCCCTGCTTATCCCACAATGCACTCTGAAATGTCAACTCTCACTCAGAAATGATAAGAACTCTTGACATCGATGAGACCTTGGGGCATTTGGATTGAGCTCCAGGATATAGATTAAACGGAATAAAACACTTGGAGTTAAGCAATGCTTCATACTAAAGTTTTATCACAATGTAACAGAAGCTTTTTCTTTTTTCTTTTTTTTTTTTTTTTTGTATTTGGATGTCTACTGAATCAAAATGTAACCTGTGGGCAAGGGGCAGGATGTGTCTGGGAATTCAAGAAGCAAAGTATCCCTTAGACTATCAGACAGTAACATGAAGATGATGACTGACTGCCCTTAAAATAGGAGAACTCTGCCCCAGAGTTGACCTTTACACTACAATAAACCAAAACAGCAGCTCCCACAGGCTGCCAGCCTGGGTGTATGTTAAAACTATCCCAAGGTGCAATGAGCCACATACTGCTGCAGAGGTGCAAGTGGAAGAAGGAAAAGGTACATAACAAAAAGGTCTGCCTTGTCAGCCAGCACTCAAGAAGGTATATTCCTGTATGAAGATCTGTTTCCCGAGATGATGTATTTTCAGCAGCAGTTACAGGAACCAGAGAAGAGAGAAGTAGACTTTCTTCTTCCCTCACATAATGTATGGGGAAAGTGTGCATAATGTGATTTCAATAGTTTTATCTTTCTTCTTGAAAGTCTTCTGTACCTACCATCCTGTGCCAGCAGCAAATCAGATACTAGCAGGGAAAATGTCACCTTCCTGTAACCTTACGAAAATATTTTTCATTCCCATAACACAAACCATCAAACTACACAGGATAATTTAAAAATATGATGGTATTCTTAGTTGACAGAAGCAAAAGGTGTTGGTTTTGTATCTTATTAATACATTCAATATTAATTTCCTTCTACTCAAATGCAAACATGAAAGTTCCTGTGACTAATGGAGTAATATTTTATTTTTTAAAAAAAATTACTTAAAAAACTATTTGCATTACCTACAAGTCAAGTAAAAAATGAGACTATCAGCTCTTTCCTTGCCAAAGCAGATTTACCATTCAGCACCTGTAATGAGAAGTTTCATTCAACTATTTATACTGCAGTTACTGACTACAAGGTATCCATGATATATATATTACCTAGTTGAATTTTTCTTATAGGTGCATGCTGAAAACTGTTCACATAAAAAAGCATGAGGGTAATTCAGCTCAAGCTGGCTTTGGGCTGAAAGCAGGCCTGTGTATGGCTGCCTGGGTAGGCATAGGCATACTTTCAGATCCTTCTATAAAATGCTTCTCTTCCACAGTTATTCTTGAAAACATACCTTTCCCTTACCAGTGTTCATGAACACCAAATAAAAGATAAAGGAATTGCCCTAGAAGGAAAATCTTCATTTTTATTTAAATGAATACTTAATGAATCTACTTAAGAAGTACTTGCCCCGGGGTATTTCTAGAACTATCTGTGAACATGTAACTGTAAAATTTAATCACTAAGAATTAAATCTTTTATAGAATGGGATAAAAGTTCCTTCCTAGTTCAGGATACAATAAAAGCCCCGTGGCAAAGCGCACAGCACTGGCTGCTGGTGGCACAGGTCAGTAGGCTCACACTGCTTACACTATGGCTGCAGCTCAAGCCATAGCTGGAAACTGCCCCTAAAGGGTCTTCTGCCAGGAAAGACAGAGTAACCTCAGTTCTCTTAGGTGTTTTATCCACCAGTGTGGCCTATTTGCAGGGCCGGTCTTGCTGAAGATGCTGGCCCATGTCTGTAGGAGCGCAAGTGTGATGAGCAGCAAAAGTTGCTACGTTGCTTTTGGGGGGGTGGGGTTCTTAGATGTTTTACAAAGTGGAGCTTTGACTTATAATATTAATAGAAGTATTTAATGAAAATTAATTAAGAATCTTTAAGCCCACAAGAAGATGATAAGTATTATCACTGGATGCAGAAAGATGTAAAGAAACATCAGGTATCAGAGCTCATCTCTTGACTAGGATGCTGCCCTGTCTCCTCTAAAAGATGGGTGCAAGGCTTAGACAGATTGGTTCAAAGTTTGCTGGAGAAGAACCATAGAATCACAGAATGCCAGATTGGAAGGGACCTCAAGGATCATCTGGTCCAACCTTTCTAGGTAATACTATAGTTTACATGAGATGGCTCAGCACCCTGTCAAGCTGAGACTTAAAACTGTCCAGTGTGGGTGAATCTACAAGAAGGTGGACAGGTTCAAGAGAAACATCTGCAGAGAGGATCCTGCCAGGGCGAGGGACAGCCTTGGGTTAGGCAGGTGCCTGGGGTCTGTGCTGATGTGCTCTGGGACACGAGTGACAGGGCCATCACCACATGCTGCAATCAGCAGTAGCTTTACCCAAAGATATGCTGCAGGATGGAGGCAAATATATTTTAGATGTTTTCCTTTCATTCAAGATGATATAAAACAGCAGAGTTCTCAGATTCCTTAGAATTACCAACAAATAAATATAAATTGAAAAATCAAGCTCAGCCTCACTGTAACACTAATGTTTTTTGCTCTCCCCAAGATCTGCAACTCTGCCAGCATAGTCCAAACAAAACTTTTCCCTCAACCACCCTAGCTTGCTTGGCACCTTCTTTCTTGCACTGTTCTCTCCTTGCTCAAAACTCTGTTTATTTGCTGACCTCCTTCACTCTGTTGTATTCTCATTAACATGAGATTATTTTTGCTCTCCTTTCCTTCGGTCTTCATATTGGATTTAATTTCAATTTCTTTACTGACCTCTTCCTTTCTCCTGCTTGTTTTGTTATTGAACGTGCAATACCACAAAAAACCTGAACACCTCTACTTATGAGAGGTGCCCCTCAGGGTTTTCCAGGCTTGCTTTTATGTCCTGCAATGAAATGCTGTATTTTATTAAACTGGTCCTAGCCCCTAGAAACCAGTGAAAAAGCTTGTTACTGACTCCAGAGGAACAGGACTGGTCACTAAAATAAATGAGACTCTAGAATCAAACTTTACAGCTTCAGCTGACTTCAATAGCAATCCCTCTTGTGCATCTGAGGATGCAATCTAAAGCAATAGTGAACAATTAATCAACTTGGTTTTAAGAGGACATGTCAGGATTAATGGGCAACTTACCTAGGCAGCTTGAGGCAGACTTGAAGTTTCATGTTTTTAATGTTATATATATTTCTAGCTACTGAACTCTGAAGAAAAACAGTAATCACCATCATGGTACATTCCTGCAAAAAGACAACTCAGAAAATTTTACTGCACTGACTTCAGTTAAAGCACATATCAGAGAAGTGTAAAGGGTTAATTACCCTCACATTTGAAATATACTTTGCATTTACAGTCTGGATTTCACTTAAGGCCCTCAATACAGGCTCTCTAAATGTCTCCTTTCAACTGCGTAAACTTCTGCTTGCTACTCTCAATGTAAGTACTTACAGATTGTGACTAGATTTTGAAAGCCATAAATTGTTAATTTAATATTTTCTGAGATGCCTCAATATTCCTTTCATTTGTTGTTGTTTTGTTTTTTTTTCTAAAAAAACCCAAAAAGTAACCCTATAAATAGAGCCTTCTTTCTGCAACCAGCCTCCAAAGGTCACCTTACAATGTTTTTCTATTTCCCGTATTAAGCAGCAATGCTTTTCAGCTGACATTCCAACTTCAAGTCATGCATATGAGCATGATGTGAGCTTGCTTCAAACCACAGTGACAGGGCTGCAAACAAGACTGCTGCATAACTGCTGAGAAAAATAACATCCATTGTCAAAAAGGGCACTTCATCAAGCAAAATTTAGCTGCATGAATACAAGTGTCTCCAAATATTTGGTTCATGCTAAAAATATAGCACATTTATTAAAAATATATATTTATAAACATTGGTATGAACAGACACAGGTGTTAAGCAAATGAGAAAGAAAAAATAACCATGTAATGTATTTCTCCCAATGTTTTATCAAGTTTAAGCTCAACAGAATTCTTTTCATGATTGCACCATATGTTCATTCTAAATAAAAAGCTTGTCAGATTCAATGTAAGGAAAAGCAAAAGCCAAAAGAAAATACTCGTTGGACCTAACAGACGTGATCTGTGCTATGAAGCTATCTTTGAGTTCAATCTCTGCGAGTCTGCAGGATGCATTTCTAATTGTATAGAGTGTACAATTTCTGTCTTTTTTTTTTTTTTTTTTTTTTTAAATTGTGTTAAAACAACATATCCCTGGTGTATTTCTTCAATGCTTCAGCTTACATAATTGCAGTCATTTTCCCCCAAACCAAAAACCAAACCCAAAGGAAGAGAGCAGGACAGAAGAGTTAAGCTTGTTACTTGTGAAAAAGTCTCCTTAAATTAATTGTGCTTCAGCCTTTGTTGCCTGCAGGCAGTGCTTTTATGATGTGTTAATATAATACACAGTCAATTCTGATTAAACAACTTGTCAATAGTCAGCAATGTTTGTTGTCACTCTTAATGGCTGTTTTATCTTGCCTATTTGCATGCCTTCTAGTTTACAACGTTGTGTAAATATACACAAAAATGATCACAATGAGGTTCAGAATCGTCCCAATAATTCCAAGCATTGCCAAGATAGTTTCTTCTTTGCTTTCCTTTTCTTGACTGCCTTTATCTTCTTCATTTCCACTGGTGATTACCATCTTGGTGGCCAGTTTCTTTATCCTCCCCTTCAGGACAATCTAGATTTAGGAAGAAAAAAAACACCAAAACAAATTGTTAGTGTGAGTTTCCAAGCTCATTTTAACAGTGGAGCCAGTTTCAGAATTTTTGGCCTGTAACATACTATATTAAGAATTCACTTTAAAAGGATTAATATTTTAACTAAGTATTTAGTAAATGCTTAGTTAAAATGACAGTTCAGCTAGCCTGTACATTACTTACAACCCTCCACAACACTCTCTGCTTATGTGGCAGCAATAATTAGAAACACACTTAACTCATCTGCAATGTTGTGGTAGAACTGCTTAGAAATGTACCAACAAGTTGTGACTCCCACTAGTGTCAGAGGGGACTTTCCCTGCATTAGGAGTCCATCTTGACAAGTTGCAGAGACCCTAGATTCAAACTTCAGAACCAAGAACCACGTGGATGAGGGGAAAAAAAACAAAACTGGGAAGACCTAATTTATTTTTAATAGGAAAAACCACCAAAGACAAAGGCATTTTGTCTCCTGACGAGAAGGAAGACAGCAGTGAATTCCCCATAAATAATTGAAAATAAAAGCAGAACCAAAATAACATCCATCTTGGCTTTTATTTTCCTCATTCTTAATGTACAATGAAATGTTACGTGCAGTGCAGTGAGCTGAAATGTATCGATCTGCTGGCAGGGACTATACAGCCATTTCCCAAGCAGCAGCCCCAGACCCTAAACTGCTTTAAAAAGAAGGCTCTTCAAATGCAGGACTAGCTCTGACTCCCAGTACTGCTTGAGCCACAAAGAACTCCCCTTTGTCATCTAGCCCAGCATTGAGACCTGGATAAACATTTGATTGTTCAAATTAGAAATTAATAAATTATATTTATCTGTGCTTATCTAACACTGCAAACTCTGATCTCATGGGCAAACTAAAGTGCCCTAGAAAACCAAAAAAGGCTGGCTGGCTTCCCAAAGCAAACTGATCTATCAACAGCTGGGTTCAGGCAATGCCCTGCTGTTGTCTCCCAAGCTGCAAACCATACCCCATGATGTTTCTGCTACAGGAAGCAGTGGTAGGATGTTGCAAAAAATGCCACTGGCCTTTATACTTAACATTTGCATGAGCATTTATATGTTTTACCTTAAAGTCACCAAGTGATTCAGAGGAAAGTAAGCCCAAGGAAGTCAGTAACCTGAGGGTACTCATGGCAGACACAGGTCAGTGGGACCAGGGGCACCAGGCAGAGGGGTACTGTGTCAGACATCAGAGTGTGATCATCCAGAACGTCTTCAGGTAACCTGCCCCAGGAGAGCAAAGGTTCAGAGGCACCAGGTTCCTCCCAGGGATGCTGGCTCCTATTGCTGCCCTCCAGGTTCCCTTCCAGCCCTCAGAAACTCCCTGGTCCCCACAGTTCCTCCAGTGATGATCATCTGCAGCTCCTCCTGCAGAACCTACATCTTCTGGCAGCAGAAGAGCTTTGTCATGTTTAACCCCAGCTAGGGTCCAGAGGAGGGCTTGGTTACATCTGTAGGATGCCCTCCCTGTCTTATTAATTGCCACCATGTAGTCAGTGATACCTTAACAAGCAAAGTGGTGCTGGGGAGTCACAGGATAATTCCTACCAAAGCCATTTACACTAACCTCACAAGCCAAGCACATCAACTCTACATGGCATCAGACCACATACCCAGATCTCAAGCTATGACACGCAGCCACTGCTTCACCCAGAAAGCCATGAGTCATTTGGATAGCATGTTTTTTTCCCCTTCAGTAACTGGGAGGTTTTCCCTCTAGCCAAATATTTACACTTTATTGTTTATTTTAAAAATCAAGTGGGATCACAAATACTATCTGATAAAATCCCAGGTCTGGAATGCAAGGATCCAAGGGAAGGGTGTAGTCCGTGCTGGCTGCTTCTGATTCAGCACTCTGGCTCCCACAGAGACATGGTCATACTCAAGTATCTTGTGGGTGAAGCCCCTCTGTCTCTGAAAAAAGCCAGAATAGGTAAAATGGGTCTCTCTGCATCCCATAGTATAGGTAGAGTTTTCTGTTCACATCAACATAAACCCCCACAGAGCAGGGCAGAGCCACAGCTGGGGTGGATTTGCAAAAGATCTGCATCCACCAACACTCTTGGGCATGGTGGCTCTTGCACCACATGTGCTGGACAATACTATTTCTAGGATTAATGTGAGCTCAGGCAGCATGGAGACATCTGAACCCCTCTTATTAACATCCTCAGATTGTTCTTAATAAATCCAAACTGTGCAGCATGAAGTTACTGCCAAACTCTTTCCTACAGGACATTATATCCTAAAATGAACATCAATCTCTGAAGTCGCTAAATAATTCACAAAAGAAAAAGCAAACAAAAAAAACATGTCTAAGGCTGTTAGATATAAAGAGAAAGACTCCAGCCTGGGAAATCCTTGAGTTGTGAATTTTTTGGAAGCTAATAAAGTATTCTGTGGAAATACCACATCCTTGCCTTGTTAGCAAAGTCTTTCCCAGGTATCCATTACTGGTTACTGAGAGACAGGAGGTTCCTGGGCTGCACAATCGCTGATCTGAGGTTGTACAATCACTTTACTCCCTTTTCCAGGTTCTAATTATTAGCAAGGAGATACTGAGTGGTTTCAAATCCAAACACCATCAACATGATTCAGGCTGGCAAATTATTTCTGTCCCACTGAGAGGTCTTAAGGGAGCGAGAAGGTCCTCAGTTCAATGCAGTGGAATATGCATGAAGAAGCTGGTGACTGGGGTCATGATGAACATGAAGGAACAATAAAGAGGCAACAGGAGTTGGGAGTTTAGGCATGGGCTGATAGACAGTGTAATTTGGTGTAGGCGATCTCTATTGCTCCAGTCACGCCTATGTGCTGTATTTGGCTCAAGCTATGATGCACTCTGTGTCTGCATGAACTGCATCCTTTTTTTGGATGAAACTACACCCAAAGATGTGCTCCAGAAGCTCTTTATGTGCTATTAAAACAATAAAGGAAAATGTTAGTCTATAGTCTAAAGCTGGTCTGAAGCAGAGGTTCAGACAAAAGCTGGTCTGACGTAAAACCTCCAAAACACATGTAGTGTGGACACTGGCAGCATTAGTTTCCCTGCAGGGATTGCTCCAGTGGGTCCACACTTCCCGCTCTTTTATACAACATATAAACAGTGAGAAAGAAAGAGCACAAGGAGCTTGGAGAAGCATTTAATATTCAAACAGGACAAGACTAGGTCTAAATACAATTATATTAGTACTCTGCCAAATATAGCACTGTTGAAAATAAAGGTTGACTTTGAACTGTGAGGAGACCAGAATCAAAATTACTTCTCCATATTTAAGGACTCACCTTGTGAGGAGTACTCTCCTAATTGCACACTCAAGCCTTTAACCTTCACAGATCTCATGCTCTGTGAGGTATTTTGACTGGCTGGGGTTTGTGGGCGTTTTTTGCTACTGGGAAAACACTTGCTGTCAATTTTAGTATAATTACACCAATTAAACAAACAAACAACAAAAACCAACAACAAAAACAACAACAATAAAAACACAAACCAAAACCAAAACTAAAACAAATAGAAAAGTCTTCTGACTTTCTGGGCACCTTTTTTCGGCCTTTATTATTCTCCTCTGGAAAGAGGTTTCATTTATTTGACTTTGTTTCATATTTTTAAGATCCTTATGACACATTACTCATTTTTTACTTTTTCTGTGGGACTTCATGCTTTTGAGAAACACTCTTTTCCTTATTCAGAACTGCTGATGGAAACGCTGAGATAGGAGGGCCAGAGAGCACTAGATTTATTGGTTCTTTAATAACTATCTTTCTTACTTAATTACTGCTTCATTTGGAAAGTGTCTTCCTGCCACATCAAAAATAATGTGCTTCCTACTTCATTTGGTAAGATTCATAATTAACCTAACATCAGCCTCTTGAAAAGATATGTATTCCAAAAAGCTACCCAGGTGAAGATGTATTCAATGTATTCTAGGTTGCACAGGGAAGAAAAGGACAGTTCAGTGATAGTCACTGCTGGCTTCTTATATACCTACAGGAACTCAACTTAGCCTTTTTTTTGCCTCAGTTTCTTATCTGTGGGATTCTTTGAAGACCTGCCCAGTCTGTGTCAAAAAATTACTCATAACAACAGTGAGGCCATACAAATACTTGAAAAAGAGAGATGTTAACGTGAAAAAATTAAAATCCAACAGTGCTCTAAAATACACCCACTAACATCTCCCCAAATATTTGGAACCAGTTGCACATCACTGTCATTGCAAACAGTCCAGTGGGCCAGGCAAAACATTTCTAGCAAGAGAAGGTAATCCTTACTTATCTCTTCACCCTCAGCATGAGCCGTGACTGAACTAAAGCTGATGTCTCAGTGGCAGGGCTTTGGAAAAGGCAGCAGCAAGTGCATGTTTGTCACATCAAAGATACAAAGCACATCTCTCACAAAGTACCTGTCCCGACATATCTGTCAGCTTTTGAATATGCTGGCACCTTGACTTGCTCTTGAAATTATGTTGTAATCTTAAATAATTTTTCTCCTAAGTCATTATTTATGAGGACTCCAAAGAGGCTACAAGTGGAGGGTGCATCCAGCAGAAGAAGAGCCCTGGGAAGTCAGAGGAGAGGAGAATGGTTTTGCGCTCTGCCAGGGATCCTTAGCACCCCTTCTGATCAGCTCGTGCTGTCATGTACTATTTGACACTTTGAAAAACAGGAATGGAAACTTCTGAAAAGCTTCCAGGCTCAGATGCTCAGCTGGTACAAAGCAGATTCCTTCCCTGATTTCAGCTGAGCCACCTCTGTTTACACTCGCTGAGGGTCTTGCTGCTTGTTTCAACGTAGCATGAATATCAGTGAGCACAAATTTTGTATTCTTTATCCATAACCACAGACAATCACCAGCCAAATTGTTTTGATACCCAAACTTGTTTACAGTCCCCAGGCTATTAATTGTGATGACACATTAAGAGATAAGAGAGCTTTAATTTTCTGAGTATAGTTCCACCTTCTGGGTATAAGA